TAAGAATTGGGGTTCAATGATATGGCATCAGTCCCTGAAAACACTCCACTATCCCTCATAAGCTTTCAGTGTGGAGGGCCTTCCTGCTCTTGAAATTCTTTAAACAAACAAGGGTTTAAATTTTTTGTCTCACAAGGCTGTTCAGACAAGAGGTAAACAAGATGGTCTGGGAAGGGGTGGAACCACAGCGACCATGCTGGCTTGAGAAATTTGGGTTGAACAGAATCATCTTGGGCAGATATATCACTAGATTCAGTAGATTGGAAACCCAGGACTTGTCACATCTGAGAGGGGCTATCAGAATCATCTTGCATTTCTGACCCTGTAATTTCTGGATTATTTTTGGTATCAAGACCGGGGATGGGGGCTATGCAAATACACCTCTCCCAACTGATTGACAGAGCATCTACAGCCCAAGTTTTTGGCAATGGAACTGGATACACAAAGGGGGAGGGTACAACTTGCGATTCCACCTTGTTGCCAAAGATTGATCACTGGATGCCCCCAGAGTGTGCAGATCCAAATAAAGACCAACTAATGAAGTGACCATTCCATGTGAAGGGCATAACCTTTCCTGGATGGTATTGGCCAAGACATTGAGTCTGACTTGTATGTTGATATGGAGATTGTCACACCTATGTAGAAACTGCTAAATCATAACACACAAGTAGGGAGATTTGGTGCCACCCCTGTTTGAGGAGGCAGGACACCACTAAAGAGTTGTCGAACATAAGGAGTACAGTTTTGCCTAAGAGTCAATTCTTCCAGAAGTAAAAGATATTAATGACAGCCTTTATTTCAAAAAGGTTAATATGTTGAGGTTGCTCCACTGGCTCCCACCAGTGTTAGCAACATCATTTGTAAGGGGTGCATAAAAAAAGATAGCCATGCCAGATCAAATCTGCTGCTGCACAGACTAATCTGAGGAGCTGCAAGAATTCTCTTAGTGAAATTCAAGTCCTGTTGTTAACAGAGTTGACGAGTTCAATTCTAATTATGTGAACACGAGGAAGCTGTACCAGATTCAAGTTGGTGATAAACTTTATATCCAGGTGAACAATAAGCTGGGATGGATGGAAGTTGGATTTTTCCTTGTTCACTAGAAAGCCGAGATAATCTAAATGTGACAGAAGATTGTTTCTACCTTGGAGTAGAATAGAACTTACCATATGTTTCCAGAGGATGCTGTCATTCTAGATCAAGTTTATCAGAACTGGAAGACAGTAAACCCCACAACTTTGGTTAAAACCACAGGGCTGATGTTCAGGCCAAATAACTTAAAACTGCTTAACCGTGTAAGCAAATCAGAAATTCTCATGATGCAGGGTGTATAGAGCTGTGAAAATGTCAGTCATATAAAGACTGACAGCATATTTGTCCCATCAAATAGAGTGATGGATTGATCTTATCATCTCCATCTTGAATATTGGTGTTGAAATAAAATGGTTGAGGCAACTAAGTTTGATGATTGGTTTCAACTTGCCTTTCATCTTCCAAATAAGAAACAGCCTTGAATAAAACCATGGCAACTGTGGTCTTTGCAAAATCTTCACTGCTTGTTTTTCAATGAGTGACCATATTATCAGCTATAGAAAGACATCCTTCTCCCAACCTGATGGTACATCTGTGAAGAGGGGATAGAAGGTAAGGAACGGGTTTGGAAAAATGAAATAAGAAGCCTGTCTGAAATGAACTGGATCACACAATCGGTTTGAGGGAATAAAAAGATCTATTAAATGTGACATTGAAGGAGGCAGCTGTCCACATGTAGGCTATCTGTAGTCAATGGGGAGGGTAGGTTTAGAGTTAAAAGGCTTGAAATCAGAGAAACTTAGTTTCTTGCCACCGCTGTACGGTTACCTCCTTGCTTGGCTAGACTGCTGTCACCTAGCATTAGGCTGGGATCTATATTGAACATATGATTGAAAAAGATCCTTTGTCCCTTGTTTGCTTATCATCCTTCTGTAGTTGTGTGTGCTGATTGTTCTAAAATGCCTGTATGGATTGAGCAATGATTTGGAGGGACCTGCCTCTAAACTTCTAAAATTTTTCCTCCAAAGAGGAATGATGACCCAAACAGGGTCATCCACAAAGCTTGGGTACAATTAGGCTAGAGCGATGTGGGCCACAGACATGTGTCACATCAGATTGAAGTTGTATGAAGTAGTTAACACACTGGCCTTTAAATCTAACACTTAAGACATAGTGACTATGTTCCAGACTAATTTTGATGTTGCATGGTACACATTTTTGTCCAATTTAAAAAAGTGGAGTGGGCATGTGACCTGCTGCTTGAGTTTTCAAGAGTGAAGATATATCAGTACTGAAGGCATCAGAGTGAATGTTGTACTAGCGAGCCAAAAAAGTTGCTGGTACTCGGCTTCCTAAACAAAAAGCTCTTGAATTCCCCCAAGTCACCAATTCTACCCAACAGGTGGTCATTGATCTCTTTAAAGATAATGTCCCTCCATCCTGGTCAAAATCTATGGATGCTTTAATTTTAAAGTCTTGAGTAGCAGTAGGAGATGGAGGGAATTCTGAAGTTGCCAATAGCCAATAAATGTCCTTGACTGCAGTCTTGAGGCTAAATTCAATCTGTTCCATGGTCAAATCTGAGTATGGTTGATTTGTAGGATCATCATCATGCTCATTGTGGGTCAAGTCCTGATCTGTTCAGTTTGCAGCTCTGGATAAGCCATTAAAGGTGGCATTGAGACAGACTCAATTCCATCTTCTTTGAAAATGTCACTAACTGTCCCATGTTGACAAGTAGTAGACATATAGAAGTCCAGCACCATCGGAACAGCTGGCTGGTTTGCCTGGCAATTGGACATCCAGGATGCAAGTGGTATACAGTCTGGATATCACCGGTACCAGTTGCTCCAAAATTAAATCTTTAAAACATTTATCAAAATGAGTCAAATCAATCACATTTCCTCAAATAGTCCATGATTTATTATGGTGAAACATCTTAAAAAAGTTGCTTTATAAACATCTAATTAATTCCACAACAGTGGTTGAAAGGTAACAATTTACAAAAATATGGGGTGGGCAATGTTCACCCTTCAGGAGGTATGCATGATTCAGATACGTGTTCAATACATTATCAGTACAATAACACTTTTTTCACTCTAATATATTATCATACAATGTGGCTAGGGACAAATGCATCTTCTCTATTCAATGTTCCCACATATTAACATTAGAATCTTGGCTAATGACAACTGGGACAAATGCTGATTGTAGCTAAAAGTTCCAACTTTAATAAATCATAACTTGCAAATCCTCCAGTCAAATGAATATTGGAAACTGACATTAACTTTTTACTTTTTTTTGTCTGGATCCACTGTATAACCACATTACATTCATTATACATTATGTTATAAGGAACGGCATTATAATGCAGAAGAAGTTTATCTCTTTAAATAGATTAAACATTTTTTCAGCATTAAAATGTTATGCATTCCAAAATCATGCCTGTCTCAGAATACATCAATACATTTTGAAATGAAAAACACAGTATTTACCTTTAATAAAACTGATACTTCATTACATGAAAAAGCAAACAAAATGTGGTTGTTTACAACAATTATATTTCTCAGACCTAGTAGTAGTGTACACAGCATCTTGCTCATCCTTTGACCTTAAACATGTATCACACTGAACATTACCATTATGGGCATGCAGTCCTCCAAAAGATATATCTACTGTGTGCAAGATAAATAATTCCTTCTCTCCATGTATTTAAAAATATATAAAATGGGTTCATGTTACAATTCAGGATTAACATTTCCGAATTTAATGCTATAAGTATTACACTAAAATCACATTAATCCCAAACTAAATGTCAGTTATTTTTCACAAAATAATACATTTCTTATGCTAAGAGATCATAACTTGTGTTTTAAAAATAAATCACACGTTTCAGTAAACATATAAATGGAATGTAATAATGATCATTCACTCAATACTGTGTGCATATTCCACATTTTCTTCAACTTCTTAAGATATAGTAGAGTCAAACCAAAAGGACAACCTCTTGCATTTGGAATCACTACACATAAATGATGTTGATAAAAAATTAATCTCAAAGAATTTACTATAATCTCACAAAATGTCTTGTCAACTCTCACAGTCCCACTCAGTCAACAGTTTGAATAAAATGAAAGTAGTGAAATATAAAAAAGAAAATTAAAGATTAGAAAACTAGACACAGGCTGAATAGACAGTGAGACTGTTACTGGAAGGGTAGTGTAACTTAAAAATTTGATTTGACATGTACCTGGTTACTCTGATATACTTCCAGAGTGGCTATTTTTGCCTTGGAAACAAGCCTGAGAGGCTGTCCACAGATGGAAGGCAGTTTATTCTGGAGATCTTGCAAAAAAGTTCTGAGGATTGGTTTTGGATCAACTCTTGACATCTTCTGCATCTCCCTGGCTCTAAGACAAACTTCAGGATAAATAAGGGTGTGTTAAGGAGATAAATTCTTGCATTTAATATTTTGTTTTGTAGGTTTTCGTACCCCAAATTGAATTAGATTTATTCAAAACTTAAAACATAAATGTTTTGTCTTAAAAAAAAAACACTGGGCAAGATTTAATAACAGTTACTTTATTGGATGGATGCTCTATCAGCCAAAAGAATTTCCAGCAATCTAAGATAAGACGTTTCTTCTTGATAATGGCCAAGTATTGATATTCTTCAATATATGAGATTTGGTGACAAAACAATTAGAGTCAAGATTTCAAGGACATAGAATAAAAATTTGGGAAACCTGCAAGCCTGTGTTTAATGCTATCAACTTGTTCATTCAAATGTGTTACAACTCTATAGTTCTAAGCTATATGACAGAAAAGAGCAAAAATCAATAAGTTTAGTAAAACTCAACAAATAATTTATTTTCCTAAAATGCAAAGAGAATATTTAAAAAAACACAGTATTGTGAATTAAATGAATTAAATTCCAACAGATTATATCATATGTCAAAAACAAATGACAACTCTGGTGGCCTAGTGACAAGTGCTTCTGCCTCAAATGCAAAAGGTCGCAGGTTCAAACCTCTGTGGAGTCACCATATATACTTAGGTATAAGACTGTTTACATATAAGCCAACTGCCCAAAATGAATAGGTAAAAACATTTAAAAGTGCATGACCCATGTATAAGCTGACCCATAAGTCCTAGACTACATCATAAGATGCAGTGAGTTCTAAATGCAATTATTTAGGCAAATCATGTTACTAAAATAAAATATCTGCAAACCCAACAAAAACAAAAGTAAGAGAACTAACTATATATTGAAATACAAACTAATAATTTATCTTACATGTTAAGTCTTAACTGAAATAATAAAATCCTCATTCTAAATTCCTGAATAATAAAACATTCTATTACTTATAATCCTTCAAAATCTAGCTCAATATCTGAAATACCAAACAGTTCATAAAACTCAGCTTCTATTAAGATGTTGTCTTTGTTCAACCAATTGTGTGGTGTTCTATTTCTCATTCTCCTCGTTATTGTCTGATTCAAATATTGTATCATCCTCAGTTCCATCCATGGCATTGCTGATACAACACTTCTGAAATGAATTGGCAGTCATTTCTGATGGAGTTGAATCCCATGAGTCTTTGACTCACTTGGCGACCAAGTTGATGTCCAGCCTCATAAAATTCCTGCCCTTTGTCATCTTTACTATTCCTGAACCAACCCATCCAGACCACATCTATCATAACCTGTCTTTAAAAGGCTTGTTTAGGCAGACATCAAAAGTTTGTAAAACTGATGTTAAACCCCCTGGTATCACAGCCAATGTAGATTTCATTTTCTCGGGACTATTCAATCATTCGACTTTGTCCATCCATCCATTTTCATATGCACAAAGACACTAATAAAAAAATTTCTTGCTTTTCTGCAGGGTATTCTTTTTAAAAATGATGACAGGAGGCAGCTTTGACCTATCAGATAAACAGGCCAAAACAACTGTGAAATGTGTTTTTTCATTGACGGTTGTTTTTATCAGCATAGTTTTCTCACCAACGGCATTGACTGTTTTATTGCTTGGTAAGTCGAAGGTCATTGGCCTCTCATCCATATTTCCAATTTGTATTAGTTCAAATGAACACTCCTTTCTGCATTGCATTATGAACTTCTGAAATGATTCAATTTGTTTCTTTCAAGTCTTTTGGAAGTTCTTGTGCTGTCCTCATTCGCTACATAAGGCAGAAACCATACCAGTTCATAGCAACAAATATTGAATCTGCCGATTTGTATTTGTCATCTTTCGCCTTTTGCATATCATGCTGACAAATTGCAGTCTATAACAAATGTAAGTAAATACAAATCTGGTCAAAATCATTTTGTATATGCACAAGTCTCTTCTTTTATATACTCAATGAAGTAAAAGAAATGCAAAATCATGACCTTTGATTTGACAATTACATCTGGTTTTTAAAACAGTTCTGCAGAAATGTTGCTGTGTTGGTGGAAAAACAATCCTAATATACACAACTTACCTATATACTGCCAGAAGTGTTTTAATGAAAACACCATAACAATGCTACCACCTGTGCAAGAAGCATGGCGATGGTGCCAAGCTGACGGTTGGATGAGCAACATTTTCATTTACGATAGTTTTGTACTGCTAAAGTATTGTACAGAAACAATATGACTGTTCAGAAGAAATAGTCATATACATATATTCATGATGGCCATCAGGGAAGACAATTTGGAGGTTTGATTCATGAAACCACAATTGTTTTTCTTTTAACCTTGGTTTTCTAGGAAAATAAATCATTTGTTAAATTTTACAAAGCTTGTCTACATTGGATGTGGGAGGTCGTGGGTTCGATCTGCAGCTGAGTCATACCAAAGACTTATAAAAATGGTACTAACAGCTGCCTCAATTGGCACTCAGCAATAAAAGGTTAGTGTTAGGACTGGTTGGCCTGGTGTCAGGATAATGTGACTGGATGGGACATCATGCTACATGTCTGCAGCATGATGCCCCATTGCTAAACATCACTATAAACTGTTACACAGCAGACAGCAAAATAATATGACTGAAAAATTGTTAAAGCTATATTAAAAATCTAAATTACATGCACACACACAAAGCTTGTTGTCATCACTCTTTTCTTGTTACTTTTTGTAAGAGCCTAGACACGTTACAAAATTCTCAAGCTTGTTAGACAAACACGGAGTTCAAGAGTATTACACACCTATATCCCCACATTTTTTGTGAAGTGTGGAGATAATGATGCTGAAATATAATTTACTGTGTAACTATAAAGGATATGAATACAACCTGTCCCCCAAGGGCCTGAAATTGACCTGGTAATAGAGCATTCCATCCTCTGATTCTGGCAATCTATACCCATACTGAAATGCAAACAATATCAGGTTAAGAGTATAGAATAAAAACAACACAAAGGCATGAACTAAAAAATCTGAACATCAATAAGTGAAATATTGAACAGCAAGCAAAACTACCAACATATTAGTGGAAACAAAAAAACTCAGTAATTTATGCATCAATCTTACAACATCAGGTTCTTAAGGTAGGATACTTCCTGTCAAATTATAAAATTCTGATGAGCAGTTTTTGAGATGTTAAAAAATTTCTAAGTTTAATAATGGCAGCCTTATTTGATGGCAGACACAAATCAACTGTAAGAATTTGAAAATCCTTTATGCCTGGGTATTTTCTATCAAATAGGGTAAAATTGTACAGAGTAGTTTTTGAAAAATCATTTTAAGGTTTCTCTGTTTTAGTAATTGCAACCATTTTTGAATGCAGATGGCAACTTATGTACAAACTTTGAAACCTTTTAAGCCATAGTGCTTTGTGTCAAATCTATTAATTGAGGGGGGGGGGACTTTTTGAAAAGCTGTTTAAACAGAATTTTAATTTAAAGAAACAGTTTGACATATAGTGGCAGATTGGTATTGTTTGTATCAATATGAATGCCTCACACATACCTGTCAGAACATGTATCATGTAAACAACTTGATTTTTACTCCCAAATCTCTCAACACGGTAAAGTTTAAAAGTCATCTTAATGGGAGAGAGGGGGCCCCCAAGTGGCCAAGTGGTCTAAAACGCTGTCTGTTATGGATCACTGCCATCTCACCTATGCCTGCGTGGGTTCAAGTCTAGGATTCAGCGAATGTGGATATGTGAGAAAGCTTGCCAGTAGTTTCTCGTGGGTCGGTGGTTCTTTCTGGTGATTTCTCGGTTTCTTCCTCCACCATTAATACTGGCTGCCATGAATAGCCTATCGTGTGCTAAAAAATGGTGTTAAGCCCAACAACAACAACAAAGGGAGAGAGAGATTTCTCGACCCATATGCTATATTTCATACTAGGATTCTCCATGGGATTTTGAAAGTCGAGGACTGCTTCCTGAAAAATAAACTTGCAAGGAGTCCCAGTCCTAAAACTAGGAGTCCTAATAATGATGCTTTTTTTTGGTTTCATGTAATAATCTTGGTTATGTGTGTATTATTAATATGTGTCATCAGATACTGCTAATGAGAAAAATTTAGCATTAGAAAAAATGAAAGAATTAAAGCAGTTGATAACCATGTTAAGTGATATTGTTGATGATGTTACAACTATAACAATTCTCAAAGTCCTGCCATTCTTTAAGTTTGTGTACAACTAGAAGGTATCAAGAGATCATACTTTCTTTTCTATATTAATTTATTTCATTAGCTTAATTCCAATAGAAATCAATAAATTTTCTAAAATACTAGAAGAAGAAATGGCTATACTCCACTCACAGTGACAATCTTTTCACTAGCACAGGTTACAAAAGTATCATTAGAGCAAGTTATTTCTGTATAAACTATGTATGTGTTTGTATTAATTATAACTATAGATGCCAAGCACACAGAAGCCCAGGTGGTGAATAAACACAACTAGCACCAAGCAGTAAACTCCTTTGAACGTATGTATCAACAGGACATCAAAGACAAAGGTCATTTTTATTACAAAGCAAGCTGACCTTGGAAGCTGACTTTGGCTACTTTTAAGCCAGTTTTTCTTTTTTAAAGGACATCAATGTAAAGGTTATTTTATTGCAAAGCAAGCTGACCTCATTCTTTTGAGTGTGCCAATTTTATTTTTTTCTGGAATATACAAAGACATATGGAAGCTAACTTTGATTCCTTTTCAATGGTATTCATGGGAATTTTGAAAATAAATTGAAACAATGGAACAATTTTTAAAGTGACACAATATAGTGCTTTGTTCAAGGACATCAATTATTCAGCATCACCTTGAAGATTTAGAGAAAATAAATCATGTGATGAATTCATGAAAGCCATAAGAGAAACATATAATTTCACAGACAATATGATCATTAACCTGGATGAAATTCTAGTGTACTTTGATTGCATTCATGAACGGACTGATGATAAAATGGAGGTCAAAAGTTTGAGAATTAGCAAGACTGGTGCAAATTTGAAAATATCTGACTTTAGTCCTTGTAGTTTCTGCTTCAGGTGATGTGTTGCCTCTAACAATTTTTCACGGTATGAGAAAGCTATAACAAAGAAATGCATGCACCAAAAGAATGGATCATACATGTGCAGGAGAAGGGTTGTGTGGATCAGATGCTGCTGCAGTGATTCAAGAATTTTATCTCAAGTACACAGTTTTATATTTTTTAATATAAAATTTCAGTTGGAGTGCTTTCTTTCTCCAACATGTAATTTTTGAACCATTTAAATATTGTCCCACAACTTATAATTCAAAAAAATGATGTGTCCCAGAACATACAGTGCACAAAAAAATTACTTTAAAAATTAATTTATGGTGTCCGAACATATACTATAAGTACAGCAATTCTGCACTCTACCAGTTAAATGAGAAGTAAACCAGTTTAAGGAGTTTTCACTGCATTGATATTCAGTTATTCAAGCAAAATTGGTCTACAAGATCAAAAGCTTTATGAAAATCAACCATAACAGTCTCTACCATTTCTCCTTGATCTAATGCTTTCAGCCATTTATCAAACTTTACAAGTTCAGTTTCACAGTAGTGATTCTGTCTAAAGCCAGACTGATTA